GAGGTGAAGATTTTTCTAAAATTATTTTTTAAAAATTAATATAAAGTTATAAAATTTGATCATTTAATATTTACTAAAAATTATTTTAAAAATAATCAAATAAATTATATATGTAAACTAGAGAATGTGCATATAGGTTTCAGGGATGGCTGAATTAAGAAAAAAAGTAGGGTAGTTGGTAACCCAACCTTGTGGTACGGCAATTGCGGATGTGACAATTCCTGACGATAATTACGGATGACGATTTCGGATATAAAATTTTTAAAAATTACTCAAATGAGAGCCTGTTATTTAGTTTCCGAACCATAGCAGGATGATTTCTGCACTGATATGTCAATGAAAATTTTAAAGAAGCTTTAATTTTTTAAATTTTTGTATCCTGTATTGTCGCCGGGAATTGTTAAATCAGGAATCAAACCTATCTCTGCTAGTTATATTTTTAATTTTGACGAATAAACCTTGCTTTCAATTGTACCAAGTTTTGTCCCTTTATTTACCTTTGGTTTAATTATTCAAAAATTGAAAAATACATTCAATAACTGAAGTATACATATTTAATATCTAAATTAAAAATCTTTAATAAAATTGTTTTAAATAATTTTTACATTAATTTGTAAAAATATATTTAAATGTATATTGTCTATTTTGTAAGCTTAAAAACTAATCTTAAAAACAGAAATTTATTTTTTAAGAGCTCAATTTTGTTAATTAAATTTTTTTAAATCAAAAAACATTTTATAATTTAGTTGATTAATTTATTTAATTTTTTAATTTAATTCCTTTCTTTCCCCACTTTTTATTTAATCTCTTTTAAATTTTTTTAAAATTATTTAAGAAATAAAAATTATCTTTTTAATTACCACCCACATTTTATTAAATTAATAAAGGTGGTAATTAAATATTTATATAAAAATGGAGATAAAATAAACAAAAATAAAATTGTAAGTAATAAATAAATAATTTAAAAAAATAATTTAATTATTATATTTATATTTTCTCTCTATAAATAAATAGATCAGCCTTCCTAGGTTTTAAATTATAAATTATTCTTAAACTATTATACTATTCAATCAATTTGATTCAGTCGAACCTAGTTATAATATTCTTCCACCAGTTAAGTATTAGTCTCTGATTTATAATCGGTTGGTCACTGATTGAGGAAATATGTATGCTTAATCTACATATACCTTTACTTTATTGTACGATTAATTTTAGTGTACTATTTTCATTCTTAAGGATATATTAAGAGATTCAACTCTTTTAAATTTAAAAATTCTTTTTTAATTTTTGAAATAAAATCTTAACATGTACATATGAAGATATAGAACTATCAGACAAAATAAATTTGTCATTTTTTTAATCTTTCCTTATTAAAGTTATCTTTCATGTTTTATTTTTGATTACTAAAATATTTTAAAGACGAGATTATTTATTTATTTAAATGTCAGAACAGAGAATATCTCCTATATATTTTTAATATTTTCATCATTTTAGAACATTTAAAGGTGTTATTAATATATTAAACTTATCTAAAATACTCCATTAACTCACTCCAAATACCTCCCCTCTCTCTTCTCTCTCCCCTCCCCCCCCCCCCTCCCAAACCTCCCACATTACTTCTTTAATAGCTTTATTATTTCTTAAAGCAAGCTTTAAATTAATCCTTTAAAATATTTACACAAACATCTTTTTAGTTATTTTGGAAGTAAATATATGGGCGGCCACATTCCATTATATATTAAATGTTAAACATTCCATTATTTGATGTTAATTAAATAGATGGGGGTGTTTAAATAAAAATATAAATAATTTTAATATTTTATTTTCAGTTTTAGTTTTTGTGTATGTTTTTATATAAAATTCTTTATAGTTTATTAAAATTTATTTATTTTTATAAATTTTGTTGTAAAACTTTTGCTATCTTGTTTTTACTTCCTTCTAAAGTTTGTAGCAAGTATTTTTACTTCCTACAAAAATAAAGACAAGAATTACATTATTTTCTCGAATAATTAATTTGAATAATTATTTTTTTATTTTTCGCTTAGTTTTTTGAACAAAAAACTTTCATTAAAGATATTTGTTATTTATTTTCTCTTAAAATTTCAACACAAAAATGCTTATTACCGAAAATACTGAAATTATTGTACATCCCCGAATTAATGAAATGATATTAAATAAATCAAGTTTAAATGATTTTTATAAAAAGGTGAATAAGGGATTTGTTTTGGAATTAGGAAAAATTGCAAATATTTTAAATTAACTCCCAAAATGTGGCTAGTTAAAAAAATTTCAAAAATAATTTTTCAAATAAAAATTCCAAAATTTTCTAGGCCCCCAATTTACAACAATGTACAACATCTTCAGAAGAAGGCTCACAAATCGACTTTTCTTCCCCTTCAATTTCACGTACAAACAGTGCCCAATCAATTCCCGTCCCTATAAAATCAGTCACAGATTCTGAAGAATTATCTCCATACGAAAAAACAATAAAAATGTTGGCAAATGATTTACAATGCCAAAAAGAATTGGCTTTGGGTAAAAGAGTTGGATTTTATCGTTTGGGAAAGGAATTGGGTGCTGGCAATTTTTCTAAAGTTAAATTGGGTGTTCACGTACTCACTAAAGGTATTTTTAATAAATAATTAATTCAAAAAGGGGGCGAGAAGGTCAAAAAGGAGGCAAATGCCTCCCAAATGATGCAAAAGGCTAAGGTACCCAGCCTTTTGCATCATTTGGGAGGTACCCAGAAAAACTGGCGTTTCCGCCGGCGTTTTGCTTTTCTGGGTACCTTAGCATAACATACAGTGTGGACCTTTTGCCTCATTTGGGAGGCATTTGCTTCCGTTTTGACCTTCTCACCCCCTTTTTAAGAAGTCATGCCCTCTTTTGGTTATTTGGAAAGGGCCATCCTGATAACACATAAAAATCTTTTTGGATTTTATAAGGAATAAGAAATAAAAATTTGTATAAACAATCCTCCTTGTTTTAACTATTTTACGATATTATAAAATATAATAATTAAAAGTTCTCCCAAAAACATAGAATTTTTAACTTAAAGTTTATTTAAATATTTTTCAATTTAAAGAAAAAGTAGCTGTAAAAACAATGGAAAAAGGAAAAATGGATCAAAAAGCTCAACGAGTTTTAAACAGAGAAATTGATAATATGGAATTATTACACCATCCAAATATTATTAGATTATTTGAAGTTGTGGCTACATTATCTAAAGTCCATTTAGTTATGGAATATGCGGGGGGTGGGGAATTATATACTTATGTACATGATAATGGAAAATTGACTGAAGAAGTTGCTAAACCTATTTTTGGTTTTTTAAAAGGAAAAAAAATTAAATAAAGATTAAATTATTAACAGCCCAAATAGTCTCAGCAGTTGCCCACCTTCATTCAAAAAATATTTGTCATAGAGATATTAAAGCAGAAAATGTTTTTCTTTCACACCCTGGTAGATCTTAATTTTACTTAATTAAATTTAAAAAATTAAAAAAAGGATGGATAAAACTTGGAGATTTTGGGTTTAGTTGTAAATTCGAAGACGATTCCTTTCTAAATACTTTTTGTGGTTCTCCCCCCTATGCTGCACCAGAATTATTTCGAGATCAAGTAAATTTATTTTAAAAATATTTTTTAAAATTTTTATTTTAAAGAAATATATTGGCCCAATGGTTGATATTTGGGCGATGGTAGGAAATTGAAAAAAAAATATTTTTTTTAATAAAATACAGGGTGCGGCATAAGTAACCGGACACTTTTAAATTCCTTATAACTTTTTTTATTGTCAATATTTTTTTTCGATTTTATGCTTATTTTTTAGCTCATTCAATTCTCTATTATAGCTAGTCAACGTGATTCTATAATTTCTCTTTTTTTGCAGAAAAATTCAGTCCGCAAAATTTCATCTCTTTTGAATGTCCCAAAGAGCACTGTACAATACACTTTCAAAAAATTCTGGTGAAAATTTTTTGGGAGAAAATTTTTTTGAAATTAATTTATTAATGATGGCACAACTAAGAACTTACAAAAAAGTGGAAGACTGCGTTCCGTCAGCACTTCCAAGAATATCAAAATGGTCAAAATGTGGGTGTATCGCAATTCTCGACTCTCCATGAAAAAAGTGACTCCTGAAACCGGAATCAGTGAGAGGACCGTCAGACGATTAGCCAAAAATGAACTTGGGTTACAACCCTACAAAATCCAAAAAGCACAACTTCCAACAAAAAAAACAAAAAAGTTAGGCTTGCAAGATGCAAACTGCTCCTCCAGTGGCACGCATGTCCGGACATTCTTTTCACAGACGAAAAAATTTTTACAATAAAAATCGTATACAACCATCAAAATTATAGAATCTGGACTAAAGAATCTCCTCTTTCCGATAGGCTTATCACTCATTCCCAACATCCCCAATCTGTCATGGTTTGGGCCGATATTTGCGTGTCGGGCAAAACACCACTTATTTTCGTGGATCCTGGGGTAAAAGTCAACAAAGACTATTACTTGCGAGAAATCTTGCAGCGTGTTGTAAAGCCTTGGACCAAGAGCTATTTCGGTCGCTGTGTCTGAATTTTCCAAAAGGACTCTGCTCCGGCACACGAGGCGAAAGAAGTTCAGGACTGGTGCAAGACCAATTTTCCTGGGTTCATCAGCGCTCAGTAATGGCCGCCCTACTCCCCGGATTTAAACCCGAGGATTATTCTGTTTGGTCCATTTTGGAGTCCAGGGCCTCTGCTAAGCCACACAAAAGTTTGGAGTCTCTGCGACACTCTCTCACCCGAGAGTGGGACTTAATTACACTCAAAGAGGTGCGTGCTATTTGCGAAAATTTTTCTTCGCACCTTCGCCTCTGTATCAAAGCCAAGGGTGGGCATTTCGAAACTTCTTGATTATTTTTGTTCCTTATTTAATTCTCTATCATTTGATTGTATTTCGATTTTATTTGATTGTGTTTTAATAAAGTTATGAGAGAAAACAAGTGTCCGGTTACTTATGCCGCACCCTGTATGTATTAAGGGAATACTTCTCTATTTTATGCTTGTTGGTGTTACTCCTTTTCGTGGAGAAACTGTTTCTGATTTAAAAAGAAATATTTTGGAAGGGGTTTATTATATGCCTGACTATGGTAATTAAATTAAAGAATATTTAAAAATAATTATTTTAAAAAAAAGTTTCAACATTTGCACAACATTCAATTACTCGAATGCTTGAATTGGATGCTAAAAGAAGGGCAAATATTTTGGAACTTAAGGTATTTAAAAATATTTTGGAAGTGACTGAAAGTTAAGAGAGAATAAAACATACGTTATGTCTTAAAACCAATCTCCTCAAATATTTAATGTGGAAGTTACTTAAAAAAATTTTTTTCGAATTAAAAACATATGAAGACAAAAGTTTATTCTCTTTTAGGAAAAATTTAAAAATTCCATTTAAATATCAAAAATAAATTTTTAAAATAATTTAGAGAACATATTGGCTAAGTGAATGTAAATTTCCCGATTCTTATGTAAATTTGTCTTTAAATCCAAATGAACATTCATTAGCCCATTGTAAATTGGAAAGACTTGTTTGGTCACAATTACAAAGTTATGGAATAACAGAAGAAATGCTTAGAAGTGTTGCTAAAAGTAAAGGAGCTAGAAATCCTGTTATTGGTTAGATTTACTTTAAGTTTAGATAAATTAGAAGAAAATATAGAAAAGGTTTTTTTCCAATTTTCGTGCGGTGTGGATAAAATTTATGTTGGGGTCAAGGCTGCACGCAATTGCGGATTGCGTAAATTGCGGGGGTTTTTGCAATTGCGAGTTGCGGAATCTTTTTTTTTAAATTGCGTGCAGCCCTGGGGCCTGTTTCAATTAGCATCACATCGCAGATGTGATGCTAATTTGAAACAATATGATGGAGAATCATATCCCCGATGCGTGTTTCAGGAAAATCATCAACAGGCCCCTGGTTGGGGTTACCTATGATTTATATTCCAGAGAAAATTCAAATTTAGAAAATAAACTTCGTTATTTTTAGGAACTTATCGAATTACTCTTTATCAATGTCAAGCACTTGATAGAGATAAAGAAAGGGCTAAGGTAGAAAATAAAATTAAAAAAATTATTTAAAATAATATTTTCAAGTTAAATGAGCATTTATTACAACTTGCTGAAAAGAATAATTTATTGGCGGGTAAAATTGATGAACGAAGCAAAGCTTGTATAATAATTTAAAAAGCCAAATTAAATTTTTTTAATTATGTAAAGTGCCCAAATTTTGTCTTTTTTATCGTTTCTGAAAATTTTAGAATTAAAATTAAAAGTTTTGAACAATAATTTTATTATTTTGGAAATTTATTTTTTGACCAATTGTAAGTTTTGTTTTTGGAATTTTGTTGGCATGGCACAGTTGAGTGCCTATAATTAAATATGATTGAAAAGGATTAATATGGATATCAGAGGATTTGGAGTGATTGAAGTGAATATCAGACTTCAGTTGTGGACATCGAGCGGTTAAGAAGGAAATCTGTCGATTTGGGGGGTATAAGGGTTCTATTTTAGAGAAAATACGGTATTTTCAAGTAGATATTTCAAATAAATTTTTAAATATGTACAGTCAATGAAAATAAAAAACAGTAAATTATACATAAAACAATTAAAAATCAGAATTAGTAAATTTATAATTCTGATCTGATTTTAAATTAAATTCTTTAATTCAGAATTTTTAATCATTTTTAATTTTGAACTTTTTCATGTTTTCTCCCTTTATTGATTGGATTCGTGATTTTGATTGAATTCGTGTAAATTTTACCTGACTTATTTTGCTTAGTCAAGTAAACTTTAATTAGACTTATAATCCATAATATAGACATTTTTGTACGATTTTTGTGTACTTTTCATATATTTATGTACATATAGTATGTATTCTCACCCTGAGGGGAGGGTGCCTCTTCCCCTAAATGAAAGCTTTATCGCCCTTGACTTCCCTCGCGATAGCAGAGCTTTTTATTATTTTTTCTACGATTTTTTGAAATAGCTCCGAGCGAGAGAAGACATTTCTCGCCTTCTCCCGCCCAAATCTTGTTAATTTTTAAAGAGAATTTATTTAAAAATTTATTCATTATTGCTTTAAATTTTTTCTTAATTTTACTAATTTTCATAAAAATTATTAATTTTGAATATTTAATTAAATTTAAATAAAACAAAGATTTATTAAAAATTGAAGAAGATTTTCATTCAAGACACACAAAATTATTTCCATTTATTTCTTTTTTAGTAATCAATTTTCATTTTTTTTTATTTTGAATTAATTTTAAAAGTTAAGAAAAAATGAATTTGTTTTTATTAACTTTAATTATTTATTTTGAAATAATTCTGCTAGATTTGGCTGAATGGATTCTGAAGGATGTTAGTAATTCGAGTTTAACTCTTGTTATGTATAGTTAGGGTTTTTGGGTTTTTTCGACTTTGGGCCCCGATAATCACAAAACAGGCCTGAAAAAAAGAAGATTTATATAGTAAGGCTTTAGCTATGTATTTCTCTCCTTTAGCTAGTGCAAAAGGTTATTCGGCGGCTGGGAGCGAACCAGCATCTTCAGTAGACCGGATTGATGTGTTATCCATTACACCACGCCACCAGAGGTGGGTCGGAATTCCGATTTCCGACAGTTCCGATTTCCGACACCTCTGACTGTTCCGACTCACCTCTGCACGCCACCTACTGCACAGCCTTAGGAATTAAATAGTATATTCGTTAAAATTAAAACCCTTTAGCTCGTTAACTAAAGATTTCTAAAAGTTTATCTCATTAATAAATAAAAATTAAGCCAAAAGAAAACATGGTTCTGGGCCCTATTTCAATTGTCCACAGATTCTGCGGTCTGCGTTCTGTGCACAGACCACAGAACCACAGAAATTCTGTTTCAATTATTCCACAGATTCTGCGGAAAAAGAAGTCCGCAGATTCTGTGGAAACATGCACAGAATCTGTGGAAACATCCACAGATTCTGCAAAACATCCAAAAACATGCAAAAACCACAGAATTCTATTTCAATTATTTTTCTGTGCACAGAAAAAAATCCACAGATCTGTGGCTTTTTTAGTCGATTCTGTGCATTTCTGTTTCAATTATTTCTGTGGTCTGCGGAAAATACACAGAATTCTTTAAAAAATCCACCCTAAAATTTTTTCTGCGAACTTTCTGTGGAAAAACTTTAACAATTTTTTTCTAGGCCTAGGCTTAACCAAATTTCAAAATTTTTAAAGATTATTAAAGTTTGAATCATTCTCTATTTTTTGATATAAAAATTATAATTTTATTACCTAAAATTATTGCTTAAAATTAATTTTGAAAAAGGTACATCTTTTTTACGCAGTTTTTGTTATATTCAAGCAATAAAAAAATAAAAAACGTGAGAGATTCTGAAATTTAGAGCTATGATGTTCTAATCATCATGGATATCTCTAATGAGGGGATGTTTACCAGGATCTATAGAATATATCTGTATAGCGTATACTGGGATATCTCCCATGATCTCTCATTGATATCCGTCATAATCTCTCCTCCTATTTAATGATAGATTTCCTCCTTAATCACTCCAATATATTAAACCTCAAAATCAATGGATATCCCACTTAATCACTCCTCTACGATTTTAAAGTTCCGATTTGACTATAATTTTGGATTCCAGGCATTTTCGATTTCCAGTAACCTCAATTTCTGACTAAACAATCCCCAGTTTTGTAACATTTCCCTCCCTTGCAACAACTTCTATCGTAGTTTGAAAAAGCCACATGTCGGATCGACATCTCCTGATTTTTCCGATCCGAACCCTGCTTTAGGACATTAATTTAATTGGAGATTTAAGGATATTGGATGAACAAGAAAATTAAGCGGTATATCAGCGGTTTTAAAGTGATATCAAAGAGATTTAAAGGGATGTTATGTGATTTGGAGGGAAAATTTTTAAATCTTTACAATATTTTTCAGTTTAATTTAAGAATTTTTAAAGTTTTACTTCAAAAAATCAGGTACCATTAATACTGCGGTAGTACCGAACTGTCCAAACCATTTTTCGTTTCAATAAAACTGTTATTTTCAAAAACGCGGAAATAAAAAATTTGAATTTAGAAGAAAAAATACACAGAACCACAGAAAAATAATTGAAATACAAATTCTGTGGATCAGTGGAAAAAATCCACAGATTTTTATATTTTCCACAGAAATTTTCATCCACAGAATCTGCGGAATGTTTCCACAGAATCATTGGATGTTTCCGCAGAATCTGCGGGCACCACAGATTCTGTGCACACAGAATTTAATTGAAACAGAATTTCCACAGAATCTGTGTTCTGTGCACAGAATGCAGAATCTGTGGACAATTGAAATAGGCCCCTGGAAGCTCCAGTTCGAAGAAAAAGACAGAAAAAGAAAACTTGGAAGAAGAATGCATTATTTTGGGTTCAGAAAGTCGCTTATACTCAGGGTTTGCATTAAATTAGAGTTGTATAATAAAATATGTAAGCGAAAGTGGGGAGGCATGAAAGGAAAAGAAAGAAAATTGATATTAATGTTTATCCCCGTTAAAAGTGGAAATTTTCTGCCTCAAGGATTGGAATTGCTAAAGATTTACGCTCGTAATACTGAGATTTAACATTTTTGACACTTAAGTTTAAAGATTTTTACAAAATTGAAAATATAAATGTGTAAAAATTTAAAAATTTGCCCTGTGTAGCAAAGAAAATGACTTAGATAATTCTAAAAATTTCACAATTCTTTTCTATAAAATAAAACAATTTTAATTAAAATTTTACACACAGAGAAAAATATAATGTTGGTGAAATTGTTGAGGTTAAAATTGAAAAAAAATATCATCTTGCAAAATTAAAAAAAAATAAATGACAAGAAGTTTACTGCAATAATCATGGGAGGTAACCTGAACGGAAAAAAAAGTAAAAGGGGGTACTCGTAATGTGCGAAAGGCTTTGGAAGAGGGTGATTTTGTTGGGTTAAAGAACAAGGACAAGAGAACAGGAAAGGACGAAGTTCTTTTGTCAAAAGTCATAAAGATAAAAGAACATGGAAAATACGAAATTGAAATCATACAGCACCCACTTTCTGGGAAAAACTTTGACAGATTTCCACGAGAATTAACTATAACTAAAGTTTTTGCTGCTGGCGAAGATGTTGAGGTGTACAATGGAGACGTTTGGGTTAAGGCAAAGGTTATAGAAGTCCCTGGTGTAAATCGTTATTCATACCTTGTTGAAACTGAAAATTATGGGAGAATAAATGTAGAAGCTGTTAACATGCGTAAAATTGAAGGTTAAATTCATACAAGGAAATCAGATAACAAAACACGTGAAAAGCATTTAAAATTTTCTTTTTTAATTTTTCTTTTTTTGGTCCTTAAAACTAAGAACATTTTTAAAAATTGAAAATTTAATAATCAATTTCAATTATTAAATTTCCAATTTTTACATAAAGTATTTCCTTCAAAACTCGTCAAAGATTTATTAAAAACTGAATTAATTTAAAGGAAATATTTTATGTAAATTTTGTTTGAACACAAAAATATAGGCAAATTATCTTGGGGAGATTTATACTTTTCGAGCTCTACTTACTTTCGAAAATACTAAATTTTGGCAGGGTTGAAACAATAATTACCCAGGGTAATTAATAAAGTACCTACTATGTTAATTATTATTTGTTAAAAAATTCTATAAATTAGTTGATAATTTTGTGTTCAAACAAAACAAAAAATTTTTTTCAAACAAATCTTTTCTTTATTTAAAACAAGAATGTGCACAATTTTTTTGTTTACAATTCTCAAAACTTGATGAGTATTTTTTAAAAAATCTTTAGCGACACAAATCTTTTTCTAAATTTTTCTATTCTCTACACACATAATTTTTAATTTTAGTGGATTGGAAGACCAGGTGAACATCTCGAAACTCGTGGGCCATCGGGCATACAAACAATACTATATAGATTCCATATGGTATAGGAAAAGTTTTTTCCACTGCAGAGGAAACTGGGCATATCTGATAAATAGGATATTGGCCAACGGTTATTAAAAGTTAACAAGTATTTATTAGTTTTGAGTTTTGTAAAATTTTTTTGTTGTGCAAATTCCTTATATTTAAATTCTGTTAAAATTTGTTTTTATCTATTTTCCTTTACTAATGAAAAGCAGATTATCTTAATTATTGATAACGGATTTTAGGTGTGATCAAAAATATCAGATTTGATAAAAGATATAATCGCCCCAACCAGATAAAAAAGTTCCTTTTATATTTTAAAAATTATTTTTTTTAGAAAAATAATCTTTTAAATTCAAAAAGTTGCTTTTCTAATTTTTATATTTATTTAGAGAGATATTTATTTAAATATTTAGTTTAAATTTGTTTTTTATTTTCAACAATTTTTTCGTATACTTTTTTCTATACTTTTTTTAATCAAGTAAAATTCTACACTAATTAATTATTTAATGACACGATTGCTGAGAAGTCACCTTGGTAATATCTTAAAATTACCTTGCCTCTCTCTTACTATTTCTTTACGAATTGGTGATAAAAATAAAATAATTAAAAATTAATTCTTACATTTTAATTTTATTAATAAAATAAAAGACAAAAAAATTCACCCAAAATTTCTAAAAAAACTAAAAAAATATTCTAGCAATTCGATTAAAGAAATTTTTTTAATTTTTTATTGATCTCATCCAATATTTATTAAACAGAAATAATTCTATGGAAAAATTTTTATTTACATAGGTGGGATAGCTAAATTAAGTTTTGGGGTTTTGCTATTTCAATTTAATTTTTGGCTCGGATATTGAGCTAAAACTGTTAATAATCTAAAATATCCATGTCCCCTAGATATTCCAGTATTGCCACGTACTGAACGAGAAGGCTTACGTTATATAATTTTTATAAAAAGCTAACCAAATTTGGATATGAAATGAACTAAAAAAACTCTTCTTTATAAGCTGCCACATTAATTAATTTAATAATGTTTATTTTAAATTAAATATTTATAAAATAAATTGAGATTGGAGAGAATAATCATTCTCCCTCTCATTTCCTTCAAAGATTTTTTCCTCATTTTTATTTTTAATTCCAAATATATTTTATTTTAATTTACCCATTTAAATTTTTAAGGATAAATTTATTTATTAAAATATACCAAATGTCTGCCTATAGATTAAAACTTTGCTTTGTTGTGATTTTTATTCTTTCCGTGCTTACTGATAAATGTGGTAGAAGATTAAAATTTAATTTAGATAATTTTTATAATTAAAAATACATTTCAGAGGCACTCAAGTGTAACGAAGTCAATAACGGAGTAACCAACCCAAGTTTGAATAATTAATCATTATAAAACAAAAAAATATACTCGATTAATTGTAGCTATAAACTGTTAATTAGTAGAGACTAATACGAATTTATACAAGAATTTAGCAAATAGAAAAATACAGAAAAAAGTTGATTAACTAACAAAATAATGGGGATATTAATTAATTAATCGAGTAAATATAAAATATTAAATTTTTTATTTAAATTTAAATAATAATATACAGAGGGATGTACTACAAGCCATTACTGTTATGGTTACATAGAAGGTAAATAAATACTTATTTGGCAATAATGTCATTATTAATTATAATACTACACAATTGTTTATTTTTTTAATATACCGTATTTTCTCGATTAATTCCCCTGGGGAATTATTTTTTCAATCCTTCCTTGGCATGGGGGATTAATCGAGGTAGGGGAATTATTTGAGTTTTGGCATTTGAACGTGCAGTAGGGTATTTAGGGGTGGGGAATTATTGTTTCAACCCAACTCTAGCATGGGGAATTAATCGAGAGGGGGAATTATTCGAGGGAGTGGAATTAATCGAGAAAATACGGTATGGGATTGAGAAGCAAAAATAGGCATATATGTAGGTATATAGGTATAAAAGTGAGGAAAATGGAAGAGTTAGGGGCGATAATAAGGAGGTGAATAAAGGTTGTGAATATTTAAAGGCAAAGGAGGTGATGCAAAAGTATTTGCTGGATGTACTGATAATGAAGGTTATTGCAATGGCAAAGTGAAGAATTGTATTTTGTGCCAAAAGTTTAATAATTGTAATGCTTGAAATTAAAAACAAATGTGAAGATAAAGTAATAAAAAAACCTTAAAAAATTTTACTTTCCTTTCGATAATGATGAATGCTGAAAAATATTTTTAATTTTCTTCTAAGTTCTTTTCTGAACAAACATGTATTCGCAAACATAAATTTTAGGTCCTAGTCAGGGAAATTTGTTTAAATAATTAAATAAAAATTTATTAGTTATCAGATATTTAAAAAAAGACATTTTCGTTTTTTATCGTAACGACATTCTTAATGAAAAGATATTAATGAAACGAGAGTAGAGTGGACGCATAAACTAGAGTAGAGCCAAAAGAAGTGTGAAATATGCGTATTTTTTGAAAATGTTTTTTTTACATTTTACTCGTTTTTAGGTTCTCGAATCTTGTCCTTTCTAAAGACTGATTAAATTAATTTCAGGCGAAAATTTTGAGAATTTTAGATACAATTAAAATTAAATTTTATTTTCGTCAACTTTTAAAGGGCTAATGGCAGAAGGATTAAACTTAAAAGGAAAACAAAAATTAAGACACTAATTTACTATGTAAAATTTAAAATTGTATAGGCAAAAGAAAATTTTGAAATTAAAAAAATCATTAAAAAATCAAAAATTGGCATTCTCATCTTCTTGAAGTTCCACCAAATCCTAAAAATAAATTTAAAAATTTTAAGTTATTTTTAAATAATCTAACCAGAAGAAGTGTGTGTAGTTCCTCCACTAGATGAAGAGGATGAGGAACATCCACCACCACTATAACCTGATGATGATCCAAAATAACTTGGACGTCCACGATATCTTCAAAAATTAATTGTTAATTTAATTTTGATTTTAAATGAAAAATAAATGAAAAATAAAAATTGGATTCCCCTTTAAAAATTTTTCCCCTTTTTTATTGTCCCATAAAAAATGACGACCCAGACAGGACCCCTTTAGAATTTCCCGAATTTTTTCTTCTATCTCTTTTATCGTTTGTTAATGCCTTTAAGAGGCATTAACTCGTTAAATTTCATTTAGCTTCAAATTTAATCCAAAATCCACCTAATCCGAAATCCCTTCCAAATATAAAATAATTTTTAAATATTTCAAAATTCTTAGAATTTTATTTCTACAAAAAATCGATCATAATTTTTAAAATAAAGTTTTTTAAATTAATTTACCTACTACCATAACCATCATAACCATAACCACCTCCATAATTTCCACTACTTCCAAACAAATAACCACCTAGAGCACCTAACCCCAATCCAGAAAAAAATCCAGGTCCACTACTTCCACTGCTTGTACTTGGTCCTTTATTGGAGTAATAATTTTGATTTGTTGTGGCATCATCGTAAGATGGAGGAGGGGGATTCCATCCAGGTGGGGGTGGCCTTCTGTCGTCTGGCCTTTAAAAAATAAAATTATTTTAATTTTCAAAAAAAAATTAAAAACAAACCCCCACCAACTACCGCCACTTCCTCCTCCTCCTCTCGAAGTAGAAGAACCACCCGATGAAGAAAACATTAAATAAACCAAATAAACAATGAATGCAATGACAAGGAATGAAACAATTTTTTCGAAGTTGAACCTGAAAATGAATTTTTTTGAAGTAATTTTAAATAAAATACCAAGAAGATTTCGAAGGTAAAAGATAAGTTCCTTTTTGTGCTCCATATTTGCTGTAATCAAGTTCGTAACGTAACTAGAAAAATTATTTAAATAATTAAAAAATTAATTTGTAAATTTAAAAAAAATTATTCTAAATTAAAATTCCCTAAAAAATTATTTTTGTTAAATTCCAAAATTAAAAACATTTTCAAAAGATTGGAATTTTATAGTAATTTTAACAACTAATGCCCTTGAAAAAACATAAAAATATTCAAAAAAAAATTATAAAAATATTTTTAATTATTGGAAGACAATTTCCATTTTATATTTTAAATTAAAAAAATAGTTTACAAACCCCACAAGATCCAACAACAACATAAGGGTCTTCAGGATAATCAAAACCTTCACAACTAACTTCAATCCTTCCAAATTCATATTCTACTGGCAATTCTGCTTTACATTCCCATTGAACATCTCTACCATCTGATCCTTTGTTGTAACATTGAACTACTTTTGGTGAGTGCCTTCAAAAATTGATTTTAAAATTTAAGAAAGAAATCCCGAATTTAAAAATGAAATTTAAAAACTCCCCCCCCCCCGTCAATAAAATAAAAAATAATCCAGAAGAAATTAAATTTTAAAAATTAACAAAAAAATATTTTAAGTTTTTTAAAAAAAACCCTAACATTCCAGAGGCAGTCCCACCAATACATTCCAATTGTTTAATAGGTTTATAACCTTCAGTATAACTACCTCTGTATAATGTTAAAACAGGAAGACTGGTTAACAAAATTTTTTGACGTGCTAAAAATAAAAATAATTTAAAAATAAAACTTTAAATTAAAATTTTTTAATTTTTTAAATTTCTTTTACCTTCTCCACATCCAAGAACAAAAATAAAAACAAAAATAAATTTTAAAAATATTTTGAAATTAAAATCCATAATTGTAGAAAAAAATTAATAAAATTGAAAACAAAATTCTAAAAAAAATTAACATGACAAAAAAATCTTAATTACACGTTTAGATTACGTAATCTTTAACTTTTTTGACATTATGAAATAAAGGGATAAAATGTCATTTAATTTACAAAAAAGAAAATAGTGTGGAAAATTATGAGAGTATTAGAGAAAAAAACAAAAAATATTAATTTTAAAAATTATTTTTTTTTGTTTAGGCTTAATTTTTTGATTTTTTTTTGATTTCTGTTTAAATTAATTTTTATCTTTTTTCAGGTTTATAAAACAAAATGTAAAAATTATAAAAAATGCGGCATTTAAACCGCACACTTTCTTGCCTAATTTCCACAATAATTTTAATATTTTTTATAATTTATTTAATTTATGCTGCCTGGACAACTACAAAATTTAATTTTGTTTTTAATGAAACTCCTTCTTTGCGTTTTTCTTATGCTTTAAGCCAACCTTTAGTAAATAAAGTGAATGAAAATAATTTTCAAAAAAATTCTTGGATTGTTTCTTTTGATCAAATTAACCGGGAGTTTGCTAAATTTAGGTATTTTATATTTTTTTAATTTAAAATTAATAATTATTGGTGATTTTTCCGTTTTTCTTTTTAAAAATTAATTCCATCTCTAGTTTCTTTCTTATTTTACTTTCTTTTTTTAGTTTTAAATTTTCTGGAGAAGATACTCTCATTTTTCTACACATTCAAAAAACTGCTGGCACCTCTTTTGAACGTTTTCTTGTTCGTAAATTAAATATTAGCAATCCTTGTATTTGTGAAGAAGGTCAGAAACGTTGTGATTGTGAAATTGTTGATAATTTTGGAAAAAAGAGAATTTGGCTATTTTCTCGATATTCTACAGGTTGGGTGGATTGGGCTTGTGGATTACATGCAGATTTTACAAAATTGGTTGTTGCTAATTGTGTTGATTATTATTTTAAAATTAAAGAAGGTTTTGTTTTTTAATCTTTATTATTTTTCTATCATTTTTTAAAAAATTTTGTTTTTCTAAGGCCAATCAAAAAATCGTTTTTATTTAACAACATTTATTAGAGAACCGATAGATCGCTTCATCTCAGAATTTAGTCATGTAAAACGCGGGGCAAGGTGGAAAAGAGTTCAACATTTTTGTAATAATATATCAGAGTGTTTAGAATTTGATTTGGTAAAGGAAATTGAATTGGATGAATTTTTGAATTGTCCGCACAATTTGGCATTTAATAGGTTTGGTTTTCTTTAAATAATTTAAGGGAATTTTTCTATCATTTTTTTAATTTTAAAGAATTTTTTTTGATTTTGTTACTAAAAAATAAATTCATTTTTCGGATGAGTATTGCAATACCCCCTGGTTATTTTTACCAGTTTTTAATTTATTTTTTTATTTCAAAAATTTTTTCCGTTTTTCAGACAAACTCGAATGCTTGCAGATTTAACTTTAATTGGTTGTGATAATTTAATATTTTCTGATACCCCTACATCACATTTTGGGCAATTAATGTTAGAAAGTGCTAAGAAAAATCTTCAAAATAAATTTGCATTTTTTGGAATAAAAGAACGAATGAATGAAAGCCAAATACTTTTTGAAAATATTTTTAATGTCAAGTTTGTTTTCTTTGAATTTTAAATTTAAAAATATTTTTTCATTTTTCAGATTTTCTGATTCACTGTCAAATTGGAATTTAAGTAAATCCTCTGATATATTTGTCAGTGCTGATCAAATTGCCCAAATTAAGCAAAAAAATCAGTTGGATTTGGAGTTATACTCTTTTGCTAATAAATTATTTGATAAAAGAATTGAAGAATTTAAAATTAAAGGAAGGCTCTAAATTATTTAAACAATTTTACTTTTGATACTAAAATACTTTCCAGCCTTTTTTAATAAGCGGGTATATTATACATGTATTTCTTGCCATTATAGCATTAATTTTCTGACAATTTTATTTTTAAAATAAATTTTTTATAAATTTTATTTTTTTCATTCAATAAAATAATAAAAATATTTTAGCTACCTAAATGTTTTTTAAATTAATATTTTAATAAATTATTTAGTAGAAATGATTGGCAGAAATACTCGCAGCAATCCTGTCAGTATATTAGACAAATCTCTGAGCAAAGGAAGGCATGAGGTTTTTTTAAATATTTTTTCGGGTTCATTTCGGTCCCTAATATTTTTTGGTCCCTGTAGATTTAATAAATTACCAACTTATTTAATTTTAAATAACCTCAATTTTTAGATAAACATTTCCACCTTTGCACTTTTATTTGCTGAAATGATTAAATATTCTCAAAATAAAGTTAACACAGTACAAGAATTACAAGAAAGGTTTTTATTTTGTTTAAATGTTAAAAATTAAAATTTATTTTTAGGTTAACGGATTATGGAAAATTTGTAGGATCTCGTCTTTTAGATCTAATTACTTTAAGAGAGGTTTTTTTAAATTAATTTGTTTTAAATCAGAGAAGAATTATTTTAGAAAGGATACAAAAAAGATGTTAAATTATTGCATATGTTAATGTTTTTGAAAGGGCCCGTTTGGAAAAATTTATTTGGTTTAGAAGCTGATAAACTTGAAAGGAGTAACGAAGACCCTTGTAAATGTTAGTTTACAATTTTAATTTAATAGAGAGACCTTTAGTTTTTAGATATTAAGAGAAAATCCGTTAAATTCCTTATAAGAACAGTTTCTTGGACGTCCGTTAATTTTTCGGTTTTTCTTGAAAACATTTAAAATTTTCTAAAGAATGTTTAATTTATAAACAATTGAAAAGAAATTAAATTTAAAAATAGAAACCCCCCCAAAAAACATTTTCTAATTTTTAAAGATTTTCTCATCGAAAAAGAGCCAATGGTCAATACATTTATTTCACTTCCAAAAGACAAAGGATCTCTAAATTGTGCATCTTTTATTGCCGGTATAATAGAAGCATTCCTAGCTGAAAGTAATTTCCCTTGTCGAGTAACAGCACATTGGCATATGGGAACAGCTTATATGATTGAATTTGAAGAACAAGTTATTACTAGAGAAAATATTATTAATGAAATGTCTAAATAAGTTTGTTTTTATTTAATTATTTTATAAATATTAGAAATTGTCTAAAAATTCTAAAAAGTTTATTGTTAGCAGAGATGTTTCGAAACAAAAAAATCTTCGAAAATCGGAAATCGAAAGAAATCCAAAAATATCGAAATCGAAAATATTTTTCAAAATCTTCGAAATCGAAAATCGAAAGAAAAATAACCTCGAAAATCGTAAATCGAAAATCGAAAAAAAATTTTAATAAAAAATGGAAAATAAATTTTTGGTACTTATCGGTTATCTCGCCACATTTTCTTTCCTTTTATCTCCTTTTCCTCTCCAAAGTTACTTGAACTCTAAAGAATTGGGGAAAACTAATGACTAGAATAGGAGATCCAGGGAAATCGCAGATATCCAAACCCAAAATTTTGCTATCCGAATCTACGGCACCGACTCCGACCTATTGAATCTTGGCTCAGGAGCCGTTGATTTTCTGAGCCGCATCATGTTGTCTCCAGACTCCGGGTGTTAAGTTAAAGATTAATATTTCATCATGAGATCTGTATGGATTAAGAGGGATAATGGAGGATTTGAGTAAAATCCTTTGATATAGTGAAGCAAAGCTAGGCCGCTTTACTTAAAAGATTGGGCGTACATGGCATAGGGTTCCGGCATGTGGAGGGGGCTTCTAAATCCACCTTAATTCAAACAAATCCTCCAATATACCAGAGCCGAAGCACAATATTGTTAAGTTTTTTTGGAAGGCCAAGAAGCCAAAATTCTTCCATTTTCTGCGCCGCAGGCAAAAATTTTGAAGATTTTGGAGATTCTTACGCCATAAATCATCCTCTTTCTGCGCCGCAGGCGAAAATTTTGAGAATTTTGGAGTATCCTTAAGCCGCAAATCTTCCTTTATCTGCGCCGCAGGCGAAAATTTTTTAAATTTATGATGGCCGATAAGCCAAAAATCCTCCATTTTGGCGCCAAAAATTCAAATTTTTTCAAAAATTCGAAAATCGGAAATCGAAAATATCGCTAAATTTCGAAAATCGTAAATCGAAAATCGAAAGAAAAAAACCCTCGAAAATCGAAAATCGAAATTTCGAAACATCTCTGATTGTTAGATAGAAAATTCTTTAATTAAATTATATTCAAATTGGACAAAGTCAGTGACCGATAACGTCAATTTTTGATGTTTTCTCAGGGAAGTGATCGAATAATAAATCGCTCATTTTCCAAATTTATCTAGTTTTAGAATTTCAACATAATTTTCGTTTACTGGCTTTGTCCAATTCATTAAAAATTAAGTGAAGAACAATTCACGAACGAATCAAAAATAAATTATAGAAAATTTGAAAAAATGTAAAAGTGATCAAAAATAAAGTGCACAATAAAAAATTATGGCCCGTGAGAAATTTTTTGTAAAAAATATAGCTCTGATTTTGTTAATTTTTGATGATTTTGAGATCTTCAAGTGAACCACCGGTTTTATCGATAATTTGTTCTATTGTTAGTGCCTCTCCTAAAAAAGATATTTTTTTAATTTTAGTTTTTTGTATAATCTAAAGGAAAAGGACATTTCTTTGGACCCTATTTATTTTTTATTAAAATTCTATTCGAAAAATTATTTTCAACAAAAGAACTTTTAGTAAATTTTTTACCATTTTCAACTTTTTCTCCGCCTGGAGTTTCACAATCTAAAGTCACCTCTTTTCGTAAAACTTTGTCAATATCAACTTGACTGAAGAAGGCAACAGACTAAAAAACAATTTTAAATTAATTTAAATTCCATTTCCCCACCCTTGGAAGTTCTCGAATTCCAAGCGATTCAGATATTGCTGCTCTTAATTAAAATAATTTTTATATTTATTTAAATATATTTTTAAATTACCTAACATACATATTACTTAATGTTAATGCCAATGCACATCTATATCTATCTTCATCGACAACCATATAACGAACCTTTAATTTTTAAAAAAATTTCTTAAACAAATTTAAAACACACTTCATCGTGTATAGAAATCATAAAACGAGCTTTAATCCCATAAGTAGTACACAACCACCTCATACAGACCAACAACATATGAAGGAAATCGACAGCACTTGACTGGACAAACTTTGAAAATTAAAAATTTTTTCCAAAAAAAATTATTTTTTACCCAATTAATTATTGTTCTTTTATATAAAGTGTTGAATGCATATGCTTCTGGCCCATTTTTTATTGTAACTGGGAAAGGTTCAAGTGCTTCGCTTAATCGGCATTTGAGGACAGGAGTTTCAGGGTAAAGTTGATGTGATTTAAGTGAAAGATAATTAAATGTATTGGATTCACTAAAAATTTTAATAAATTTTAGAAAATTATTTTTTAAACTCACTATCCTCCATTATACAGCTTTATTGGATATCTCGAAGCAAATTTATCATTTAAATTAGTTTTCTTATAATTAAATAGCCATTCAGCAAAATTTAAAGTAAAACTGCTAAAAGTAACATTTGGAAGGAAATAACAACCATCAACAAATAAATAAGAATTATTTTTAGAAGTATTTTCAATAATTATATTTTGATTATGAAGATAAGCTAAATATTCTTCAAAATATTTTCCTCCAGATTCTGATAGACGATGGTAACTTTGAATTGAAAAATTAAAAGAATTATTTTTAAAAATAAATTGGCTCACTTTGAAGCCTTTCCTTTAGTTGTTTCAAATAATTTTTTAGTCAACTTTTTAGAAGTAATATCTGAAATTCCTTGTGTTTTTAAGAATTGTTCTGCATGTTTACTACCAGCACCATATAAACGAGCATAGTTTAAAACCTTTTTTAGAAAAATAAAAAATATTTAAAAACTCAATTAAAGAAATATTAGAATTTTTAATTTATTTTTAAAGGTTCCGAGCAGAGCTGCGTCGAAACAGAAAAAATCTTCGAAAATCGAAATCTCGACACAGCTCTGGTTCCAAGTCAAATTATTATTTTACCCCCACCCCTCCCCTTTCCTTACTTTAGCATGATCTCTACTAATTCCAACAGTTTTTGCTACAACCGAATGTAAATCAGTCTTTTCTGCTTTATTCCCAGCCAAAAGCATAGCACTAAATGCTGTAGAACCAGCACGTTTTGAAGGATGTAAAGAATCACCAAAAAGGGCTGCTATCCATTGTTCTTGAGAATCAACATCTGCCCCAACTAGAGAATAACCGTTTGAACATTGAATCATTGATTTCTAGAAAAACTAATTTTTTATTTAAAAATGAAAAAATCTTTACAAGATCAGAGCCAATAATTCCCTCCTAAAATAAAAATAAAAAATTAATAAAAAAATTTCGAAAAAAAACTTTTGCATTTGCAGAGGTTAGCCACAATTTATGAACAGCACGCCTTGTAACTGTCCCAGCAGGGATAACAGAAGGAACAATTGCCCCATTTTCAGAATTTTCATCAAACCAAACAGGTAATTGTTCTTTATAACGAGCCCTAAATAGAAAATTTAAAAACTAAAAAAAATTTTTAGAAAAAACCTATAATTTCCCCAAAATCTAGTCACACTTCTCGAATCCAAAAAACGTTTTAAAATATCAACAAATCTTGTTGGATGAATGGCGTCTTCTTCGAAATTTTCAAAATTAATTTTCATTTTCTTTGAAAATGGAGTGCCAACATTAAGATGAGGTTGACCAGACTTTTTTAAAAAGATAAATATTTAATTTATTTATGGGTAATTTTTAGTTAATTATTCTAACAAATATGAACAAAAAATCTGATTAAGTGGAATCAAAGAAATTCCAAAAATCAAAATTTTAGCGTTTCAATTTTGTAAAAAGGAAATGAAAATCCGTTCCAATTCTTTAAATTTAGTTAAAAATTCTCAAGAAATAAGTTTGGAACTAGTTAATCAAATAATCTTTTAATTATTATTTTAAAAACACACCGGATGTGGTAGCCTGTAAAAACTAAAAAAATCGCCAAAATGGAGAACTGCAGATTTTAAAGGCTCCGAAATTAATTGATTGAGAGATTTTTTATTTGATATAATTTGTTTATAAATTGACCTAAAATTTATTAAAATTAAATAAAATAAATATATAAACCTAATTGGCATATGAACAGATTCATCAGCTATTTTAATTAATTGTGTTTCTGGTAGGGAAGAGGAAACAAAATTTTCTAAAAAAATTTTAACTTGGAAGGTCTAAATAAAATTAAAAAACAAACTTTTAGGGACAATATATCCCCATCCCAAATCTGTCACAAACATTAACGGATATGGACCATAACAAAGTCCAAAAAGTCGAGGTAATTCTCTACACATTAATTTAACAGAATCTGCTTCCAATTCTTCTAAAGGCGTATTTGCATGTAATAATTTTTGAAAAAGTCCCCAATACCAAACAGGCCATTGAGGGCGTTTCTTTGGACAGGACCAATTTGAGACGAATAGCCAGGGGTCTAAATGATATCTGAAAATAAAGAAAATGGAATTGTAGTATTTCATAAAATTTACAAACTTTTTTAATATTTCCGGCATTTCTTCACTTTCGTGGACTTGCTCCTTTTCATTTTCTTTATTTTCAATTGTTTGATCCATTTCTTCAATAACATCTCTAGCAATTTGAATAACTTTTCTAGTAATTTCATTCATACTTGAAGAAGAAAGTTTTTCACATTTATCATAAAAATGACGCCAATTCGAATTAATAGGTAAATAGACATTTGCCATTTCCATCATTCCACAAAATGTTAATGGGTGGGGAAATCTTTAAAATTAATGAAAATTAAAGCCAGACACAACCAAAAAGATGTTTTAATATTCTAAAAAGGAATTTAAAGTCAACGAAAAATTTTTTTGTTTGAACAAAGTATTTAAAAGAAAAAGGGATAGTCAGAAAATTCAAAAATTTCAAAAAAAAAATCAGAAAATTCATTTAATTTACTTATTTTAAAGATTTTAAAATTATTTAAAAAAAATCAAAAAACCTTTTACAAAATTTTGGATAAAGTTTTTGATAAACTTCAAAAGTTGCCCGAACGTCTTCAGCACAATAAAGAAATAATTGCTAAAAAATATTTTTTAATTATTAAAAACATTTTTAAAAACCTGCATATTATCTCGAATATCCTCAATACTATTTTTTCTGAAAAATCCTTGCCATTCTTTTTCCAATTTAATTTGTGTTGGACTAGAACAATAATGATTAAAAACTGCTTCTAAGGAATTTTTACAAGTTTTTGATTTCCATTCATCTACAATTGCCTTGAAAATGAATTTAAAATTTTTAAAAAATAAATTTATAAATTTAAGGAAAATTGCCTAAAATAAATAAACTAGCTCCTAAAAATCAGATTATTAATTTAAAAATATTTAAACTCAACTAAAAAATTAAAAGAATTTAACCTGAAATTGTTTTGTAAAAACAGGGACTCCATCTTCATCTTCAAGATAAAAATTGGACATGTAATCGTAGGAATTTAATTTTGATTTTTCGTAAAGACGTCTAAAATATTTTTTAATTTTATTTCACAAAAATCTGAACCTTTGGTGGTCAGCCATACCCGAACAAGCAATATGCATTGACATTGTACACCAAACTGTAATTTAAAAAAATAATTAAAATTAAATATTTGATAGATAAAACTAAAAGGCAAAATAAAGGGAGTAGTGTTTCACCGGAACCGAAATTTTGACCAGAAACGGATCCAATCTGAGTTCTGGATTCCGGAACTGGAATAAGGGAAAAACGGGGCGAGGAAAAAAGTTTATGGGAGAAATCCAATGTAAAAGAAAAAAAATCGAATAAAAATTCTATCCGTAAATTCTCCACAAATAAAAAAAACAAACATTTCATAGCTGATTCCTTCGCCAAATATTGTTCTCGAATAAATTGTCTATCAAAAGCTACATTGTGTCCAATAACCAAACTTTTAAAATTTCCCAAATTATTTTCATCTTCAAGAGGAATTAAATGATCTAAAGTAACAAATTCAGGTAAATCTACTTGATCATTAGATAATCTGTTACTGCACCAAGAATACCTTTAAAAAATTTTATGAAAAATGAAACAAAATTTTTACAAAAACTATTCACTAATATTCTAATTATATAAATTTTTTTCAAAAAGTAAAAAAATTCCATTTTGAGGAAAGAATTTAGGCGAGGATCCGAAAATTTTTTCAAAATTATCTTAAATAAAAAACAAAAATTCTTCTTAATGTTAAAAAACAAAATTAAAAAACCATTTATTTGGAGAAAGAGCAACAGCCATAGTCGGTAATTTTCCATCTGTCATACAAACTTCAACGTCAAAAAACAACAAATTTTCTTTTGGAAATGGAACTTGTCTTTGAATATGTTGACCTTTAATATTTTTTTCATAAACTGTCCAGCCAGGAGAGGAAGACCATTCTTTTGGCATTGGAGGTAAACTTCCAATTTGCATAGCTTGTTCCATTAAAATTCGATAACTTAAAAAAATTTAAAAAAATTTTTGATTAAGGGGGGAATTATTTAAGATTTATTAAATATTTTTAAATTTATTTTTATAAAAATATTTGGGAAATTTATTTACACCTTAAGAGTGAAAGAAAAATAACACAAAAAATTTTGGTTAACCAAGACTTAAGATAAAATACTTAAAATAATTTTTAACTTACTCCATCAATTGTTCTTCAGCCAAAACTTTAAAATGCCCCATTAAATTTTTTGATTTAAGTTTAGGTAATTTCAATTTTTCTTCTGCCAAAAATTCTTCCTCAGATTTTCTCTTTGCCATTTGATCAATATTTTCACAATTATCAGTAATTATTTCTCCAAAAAGATGTTCATGTAATTTTTTTGGAACCAAAATAATTCCATTTGTTTCTAACGGCAAACTTTCTTGGATTTTATTTTGTTTTAGACAAGTTTTTGCTGTTGCGTGTTTGGCACATAATGTTGATGATAGAAAGGAAAAATTTCTTTTATTTTGAATTAAACAGCGAAAAACAAAAAATGGCATCTGGAAAATTAAATAAAAATTAGAGGAAAAATTTTTAAGAAATTGCGGACAAAGGATAACACTTTGCGGACATTCGCAAAAAAATCGGTGGTTAGGTTAAAATTTAAATAGAAAAGAACTCCAAACCTTTGGGAGAAAAATAAATTTCTAAAAAAAATTGACGAATAAATTTATCAAAAAATCATTTAAAAGGCCAACAAAAATCTTCAGAAAAATTTTTTTATTTTTTTGTTTTCTTCCCTTGTTGTCTATCAGCCACCATTCTAATAATTTCTTCATTCTTTCGATTAATTACGCGAGTAACTTCCGAAGTTACTTTTATTGAATGCGCAGCAGATTGTTTTTTGGGAGGTAAAATAGACGAAACACCCTCAAAAAAATTGGAATTTTTTAAGAATAAAAATTTAAAAAAAAAACTTTTTTGGGTGCCGTTTTGGATGTTTTTGATTGTTTTTTAATTGATTTATTTTTTGCACCAGGTGGAAGAGATGTCTTCTTTTTCATTTTATGTTGAGCCATAATTTTTTAATTTCTAATTTTTGAATTAAAATTTTAGACAAAAATTACGCGGGATGCAAATATTTTATGAAAACGCGCCCATAAAAATAGATAAGGGAGTCGAAAACAAGAAGAAAACTACCCCACCAAACCCATCTACCTACCGTATTTATTCTAATAAAATGGCCCCTCCAATAGAATGGCCCCTTTTTGGGGGTAATGAAAAATAGAATGGCCACCTCCATTAGAATGGCCCTCCAATAGAATGGCCCTCTTAACTACTAAGTATATGCCTGAATACATTTCTTTATTTTCTTATTATGTATTAAATATTACTCTTTAAAGGATAATCATAATATTTTTGAGCAAATCTGGAGTCATAAAAGGGAGATTAAGGGGGATATTAGGGGATTTGAGAGGATTAGGAGGGATATCAAGAAATTACAACGATTTAATGAAGACGCAAGGGATTAAGAGAATTAATAGATATTTATAAATTTGACGATATAAGGAAGTTAAATATAAGGTTGTCGGATCCGGTACGGATATCGGATCCGGATATCCGAAGATTTCCAACTATCCGACAACCTTAGTTGGATACATTCATTTTATCAGGGGACTTGCAGGGACATAGGATTTTGAGGAATAATGATGGATTGAGTGAGATTTGGGATAAAATTCTGGAAATTTCAGGATCCCTTGAAGCCATACGGAAATTTTCGAATTTTTGAAAGTTGATTGTTTTAGTACTCTTTAATCTTTTTAAAAATTTTAGTCTAAATTTTTAAAATTTTTAAAAATTTAAAATTTTCAGTACTCATTAATCCTTCGATATCCTCCAAATTTACCAATCCCCTCCAAATCTTTCCCGTTTCCAATAAATTACGTCCAAATTCTAAGATCCCGATAAATTTTAAGAGCCAATTGTACTGTGTGGCACCGATTAAATCAAAAGTTGCCTTTTTACCAGCCGGCAAACTTAAGTTTATAGTGATACGAATAGGAAAATTCACTAGCCAAAGTCGAAAACATAGAATTTTACAAGAAAAATCGATTAAATTTCGAAGTCGAAAAATATTCTATTAGACATTAGATTCATCAAATCTTTGATTTTTACCTATGAAAAATAGAGTGGCCACCTCCATTAGAATGGCCCCTCCAATAGAATGGCCCCTTTTCGGGGGTATCGAAAAATAGAGTGGCGGCCATTCTATTAGAATAAATACGGTATATCCACTTTAACACCTAGAAATCTGTCCTAATCTGCACAAATCCGTTTTTTTCCTACATATATTTGGATTGATTTTGGGCGTGTCCATTTTTACTCTGACAATTGGACAGTGGGACAATTCCACAATGGACAAAAGAGTGGACAAAGGATGACTAAAAAGACAGGGGTTGGAATTCTAATCATTCGGAGGGCCTATCGGCAACAAATAATTTTAATTTTTAGTTAAATTTAATTTTTAAATTTTAAAAATTTATACTACGAAGATTTATCTACCAGAAAATAAAATTTTCAAAATAAAAAGATTTTAAAATATGCAAAAATTAGAGGCTTGATTTGAATAGTAGATTGATAATAGAGATATCAATGTACATTCCAGCTATAACTCGTTCAATATTTTCGAATCATTTTCGAAAAGTTTGGTTCGATGCAGTTCCTCGAACTAATATGTATAGGGAGTCCACGATCCAATTTTTTAAACAAAGTTACAGCCTAGTGGTACATTGACCTTCTCTCCAGTATCGATATAAAAAATGCCGTTAACAAAAAATAGAAAATTTTCGATCGGTATTGTAAAGTTTGAAAAAGGCTTAAAATAAATTAAATAAGGCCTAAAAATATAAGCAATGAAAGGATAGTGAAAGGAGGATCAGTCGTTGGTACATACCGTATATACTCTATTAATTACCCTCCCTCAAATAATTACCCCACCTCTATTAGTTACCCTCTCCAGCGTGAGGTCGAAATAATAATTACTCCCTTAAAAATTTTTATAATTAGCCTTCCTAAAATAACCGCTATTAATTACCCTCTCCAGCGTGAGGTCGAAACAATAATCACACAGGGTAATTAATAGAGTATATACGGTAGTTGGATGAAGCGAGACGTCCGGGAAAGTCGCTATCATTACCAACCATCATAAATAGGAAGGCCTTTCTGTACTTTTTCTCCCACCATTTAGTTTTATTCTCTTTTCTTTTTCCTTTCTCCAAAAAGTACACTTGGTCAGAGGATCATACTGTTTATGGATAAAGTGATTCACTGTATTCCCATTAAAATTTTTGGGACATCGAGTTCTAATCAAAGAGTTATGATACGCAATCACAATATCGGACTATGGGTCGCCGAACTCCTTTATTGGAGAAAGAAAAAAGAAAGGAGAAGACAACTAAATGGTGGGAGATAACATAAAAGTACCGGCCTCTCCATATTCTACATTTGCCCAGCATCAACTCTAGGTCCCCTAACACTGCATGTTAGAGCTGTCTAAGACTCTTGGTCTTGAAATCATATTGGTGTGGTCTCTAGTAAAAACTATCATTCCCAGGGTAATAGTTTGTTTCACACGCCTCTTTTTTCTGCCCATTTAAAAAATTTTTCCTTCTCCCTTATTTTTAATGAGACAACTATCAAAAAGGATTTATGAGAAATATTATTTTTATAAAAAATAATATGGAGTAACTAAAAAAATTCAAAGAAAAAAAAGGGGGGGTGACGAAACAAACTATTACCATTCCCAGTAAATAAAATGACCCATAAAAATTTAATCAAAATTTTTAAATTTAAATCCCATTCAATCTAAAAATCCTCCAGGTTTGTAGTTTCCATTTTTCTCTCCTTTTCTATCATTAATCAGTGTTTTGGACCGCTGGTATCTCCAAAATTTCCGCCACTGGTTCCTCCTTGATGTCCACTTTCATGAACAAAACTAGTACAGTATTGGGTAATCTGAATTAAATATTTTTTAAATTTTAAAGTCATTAGATTTTATTTTTATAAAAAAATGTTTTCCAAAATATTTTTTAAAATTTAAGCCAGACCTGTGCATGGATACGGATACAAAAATATCAGGATGCCTGCGGATATCCGTCTGTATCCGGATATGGATACCAAAATCCATGTCCATGCACAGGTCTGATTTAATCCACAGGGAAAAATTAACCGGTCGGTAACCGGTTTTGTGCAACTCTAAAATAAAGATACTAAATAAAGTGAAAATAAATAGGTATATTTTATAAATAGAGTCCGACATTTTAGGTTCCGACCTATTTTTTTTGCAACCTTGTAATGTTGAGTAAAGCTCAAAAAACACTTATTTGACACGGTACCATGCTCCTACATTGGACCTATTTGAGCCTAAAAAACCTATTTCGGCTTTTTTGGACCTAAAACCTATTTGAACCTATTTTTACCTTTTTTGGACCTATTATAGGTTTTTGAAGATTTTTATTAAAATTAGACTATTTTCTGTCAATTTTTTGTTAAAATGAAGATAAATATTAAAGATTCTTTCTAAAAATTATTATTAAACATGAATTTGAGGTAATCTGCACTTGACCGGGCAATTTTAGAGTTAGACAATAAACCGCGAGCGACGCGTAAATGTACACTACGAGCGGGTAAATGTCCAACTCTCAACCAATATGTCCGCAAGAGTTGGTTTATATTCTAGAGGCGTTCGAGACCAAAATTTTCCCCGACTCAAGATAAAGACTAGACTAATTTTCCTCTCTTTCCTTTGACTGGTTAACAGCTTGGCGTGCTTTCTTTGGTGCTTAAGTCATGAAAAGATCGGCTCAATGAGCTCATCATCGACTAAAACGAGCCGAATAACATCAAACTCAACTCGATTGATGATTCTGAACAAAATTATAACTAAGTAAATCTTCGGTGGTGCTACGGGGGTATCGAATAAGCGACAAAAATTGTTTTTAGCGAGATTCAAATGTACTCCCACGAATTTTATTCATTATTCGAAAAAGGAAAAATTTTTTCACAAAAATTTTTTTATTTTATCAGTATAGTAACCAAAAATTTGAACCTATTTGGTCAAAATTTGGACCTATTTTGGCCTTTTTCGGATTTTTTCGAGCCTATTTTGCCACTTTAAAAACCAAAAATAGGAACCTATTTCTCACTTTTTCGGGCCTAAAATGTCGGACTCTATTTATAAATGATTAATAATGAAAGATTTAGAACATGCATCTCAAATAGACGTCTAAAAATATCTACATGGTTCGTTTATGGTTTATCGGTATATTCGGATATTGTTTTAACTAGCGAGCAAAGACATGTAGTGATGCCTCATTTTTTAATTAGAAAATGGCTAATGTTTGAATAAAAAATTTTCCCCATTTTTGCGTTCTTGCGTTATTTACGTTAAATTTTGGCCGTTGCGTTTTTTGAAATTATCTCTTGCGCTCACCCTTGTTCCACATTCAATACCTTTATTTATTTAAATATTTTACAATTTCTAACGCATATTTTGCCGAAA